AATAGTAGGTTGATGAGTGAAGTTTTTTTGGTCTATCGTATTTTCTCCCGTTTCATTGGCTCATCTCTCCAATCGGTAGATTTTTCCGGATAGCCATTTTCTAGTGATGTTTGCATTGATTTAGACGTACCGTCCTTCAGGCTTCATCGTGAAGCATAATCATTGGTTTATCCAGTCAACCATACACTCACAAAGACCGTAGCCAAAACCTCCACGTGAAAATACGCAGTCAGCGGTTGTATAAACTGAACTGTGTTCAACACACAGGAAGCACTAAACTCGATTCTCGCGGTTGTTAGAGCTAATCACTAATGAGTATTTAACGACCGGATTAAAACTCCGGATTCCTCGTATCATATTGCATCCCTTTGATTGGTCATTTTCCCTTCCTTACTTGACCACCCACGCCAGGTTTGCAAACATGGGTTATGCTCTCTGACAGGTAAAATAAAAAAAACAGTTCGATCGCCCTCTCCGCTTCAGTTCATTCTTCGTTTGCTCTGTACGCAATGAAATTCACAATTTCATTAACATTATCGTGACAAAGCATCCAATCTTGCGCCAGAGCTTCACCTGTTTTTCGCATAATCTCCATTTTTTTCTTTACTCGGAGCCAAACTTCTAAACATCCAGTGTTTTGGAATTACGAAGAAAAATACAAAGAATTCTCGTATTGTTTGGATAATTTGGAGCATTGCACTGAATTGAATCATGTCTAAAGATTATTGTCGTATGCTGCATTTTGATGGTGGTGATGGCGCAGTGGCTTAGTCACTGTCTTCGACGTGCTTTGGACCCAATGGTCCAGGCTTCGAGCCCCGCCACCACCACCCAACTTTGGTAGTAGACAGCTTTGCTGTCGTCCGGTTCGATACCACGCCTAACCCATCGGGGCCTTACATGACTAGCCACTCCAAATCCCGGGGCTTAAGTTACCGGTTTCCATAACTGAACAGCAGATCTTCGTGACTACGGGTCCGCCCGTCTGTGCTGTTTATCAAACTGAAGTTTGTAATGAAAAGATAGCCCCACATTACAACTGTTGTGTGTCTGTGCATTCTGGCCGCATATGGTTTAGATGCTCGTTTTCCTGGTGTGCTCAATCCTTCAAATTTTACGACCCGTCTAACTAGTTTCACTGCAACCCGATAGCAGCAGAGGACAGAATAGAGATCCAATTGGACAGTGTTTCTAAGTTAATGTTGGTTTGCTGATTCGAGATCACGTTTCAACCTGAAAAACAAAAAACGGTTGTCACCATCATACTCACCCAACCCTGCTGTTTTGTTAACGACGTCGGTTATCCACTTGTGAGACTTGCAATCACTTGTTATCCTGTCATCATTTTAAATGATATTGACACATCATCTGTGCTTGCAAGACTAATACAAACACTATTTGATCCGAAAAATCACTACGTGCGTGCGGTAATGTGTCTATCGGTCGCGATCCGTGATACACAAGGTTTGCTCTTCCACTTTCGTGCGACTCGAAAGGTGGATTGCATAACTTGCCACACAAGGTGTCCATATTTCATTAGCTCTTCACTATAAAGTAAGTAGTGCTTCCCGAGTTTATAATTGACTGGATGAACTAAGGATTTTGTGTGAAGGATCATCAGTCCGAATCAGTATGATGAAGTGGTCAGTGTTGACACCCGTTCGTATCGTATTGTATCTCATTGAATTCTAGTAACATGACATCTCTGTGAGCTTCTGGATTTACATGTAAATCAAAAACACCTACAGATCTTTGGTAAGCTGTTCCGTAGCACTCTCTGTTTGCATTTTTTTGAAAAAATGATTAAAATCGATAATAGAGAATCGTGTGAACCAGTGTTAAAGGTACTATACAATTCCATTCGTCTACGTGAAGATTATGTTTGACTTAATCAGATTGTGATTTACAAACGAGTAAAATTGATTTGTGTGTGTGTGTGTATGTGTGTGTGTGAAATATGCATTTCTATAGCTTGAGCTACTTCGCTGCTTTGCAACTCCTCACAATCGTCTCATCATTTCAGGTTCTTCATCGCTTGTTGGCTTCATATTAGATCGCTCAAATACAATCATAATTCATTTTCGTGTTCAACAATCGTCCCATAACTTTTCAGATTTTGCAACCAATAACCATGCACTTTCTTGCGCCGATTTTGGTTGCTGCCTTTTGGCCGCCCATTTGGATAAGAGAGCGAGTGAAGATAGCGAATTTACAAGAATAATGAGTAGATGCATGAGCAGCACTGTTTGCGACACCCAACCATATCGCTCAGTGTCCCATAAACAACAAATCCATCGATGACACACAAGGTGATTGATCTCCTAAAAATGATTCGTGGTATATATATATATATATATATATATATATATATCGAGTTAGTTTAAGATTATAGTTGAACGTTCTGCGTAATTTCGCAAAGTTTTTTATATAGCGCGTTGCAAAACTCTCTGAACTATATGTTCTGAGTGCACCTATCACTCTTTAACTGAAATCCGTGGTCTCTGAATCCCAAGAACTTAGAAACTAGTATTGTTGATATGATAATGAATTCATTGCAGGCTATCTCAGTCAATATGAACTATTTTCATCATCATCATCGTACAGCGAAATACAGTGAAGCGAACCTCGCTGCCAAACTCGTGATGTATATAAGGTTAGTGGTAAAATTTAAGGTAGACAGGGATTGGATCTATTTTGAGGGAGGGAGAAGAAGGTGAGCCACTGTGATCAACAAACAGTGTACGCAATCGAACTCTGCATACATACCGTTTCAAACATTCTGACCTGATAAGAAACTACAACAAGAACGCTACTACTGCCGGTTCGCTGCCATATCCTTAAATGTCTCCAACCGACCAGTTGTGGAGTCTTTCGGACCCCAACCTGGAAGGCGAGAGACACCTACTCTACCTAATGTCTCTGTGTATTTCTTCATGCCTCGTCTCCACGTCATCTGTTGACTTCCACGTGGTGTCCTCCAGTCCGGATTAGCTACAGCGAATAAAGCTTGGTGCGGTAGACGATGGCTGGGCATATGCAATACGTGACCTAGCCAGCGAAGCCCAGTAATCTGGATTCGGTGTGCTAGCAGGTTTATACCTGATGGACTCCCAAACACACGACAGCTTACCTCCACGTTACTAACCCGTTCGCTCCATATAATGTGGGCTAAACTGCGTAAACACCGATAATCGAAAACATCTAGTCGATGGATATCTTCTACTTGCAAATTCAAAGATGTATGTATCGTTGAAAGGCGGCATTCTGAAACATCTGATACACCCTTGACAGTTAAAAAATGTGTCCGAGATTCTAGATTCCACGTAGGCAAAGTTAACTACAAAGTACCTATATCGGCTCGTTATTAAGCAATAATGGATAGTCGTTTTTATTCAGACGATCAACACGGATACGAAGTAGACGGAATTCAGAGGCAAGAGATACAAATACAACATTTATCTCGATTACTCAATATAATCTTTACATGATCGGTTCTGTTCGGAGTGGTACGAGTTCGGTCTCAGCAGCTTATTGAGAGCATTTGCTAGTTGTTGTACATGAAACTAGTCAAGTATGGAGATGGATCACGGAAACATCAACATCCTTATACACTTTGGGATTCGGAACTGCTCCAGCGGCGAAATAATTTTTCTGGAGAAATACAGAGATCACGTCACTCCTTTATTCTAGTATTCCTCAGTTGAGTCTGAAAAATCTTTAACCCTGCAATACAGTGCTGTGATTTTCATTTTGATCAGTCGGAAAAGTAATAGGAAAACGAGTATTTTGAGAGATTGAAGGCATGCTGAAATTAAACGTGAAGATAAAGAAACGCCACTGTGAATGACACTTAGGTCCTGTGCTACTGGCCTGAGTTGGCTCAATCTCATAGATTCCAATCAAAATACTCCTTCCGATATTTTCAGCCAGGGATTTTCGTGAGTTTCGTTATATTCATCCGAATACTGCTCGTTGCCCGGGGCTATAGCCAGGTCGGTGAACCACTGCCAGCACACCCGGAGGAGTTGGCTAGAAATCCTGATTTCAAAGCACATGAGAAGGGGCATACAAACCACACGCACACCTTCCTGGTCGTTGCGATGGTCATGGGATTGAAGAGGCATCGAAGTGTATTGCCTGCCTTGAATGTTTGACTACATCCGAAGGGCATATGATCAGATGAACTCGACGTCGGCCCCCAAAGGGATTACAGTTTTCCCACACACCGCCTCGCTGCCTTGTGGGTCGTACTTCGAATATATAATGTGTGATGATATATAAAGCTAACTGTAACATTTGGCTCAATCAGCCTAATTTGTGGTGATCAGTTATTCACTTGAGCATTTGGTCTCACCGATTTAGTGTCGTAATTTCAGCTCATCATCGTTTATACCATCATCACCTTCGGCGCATGCATCTCAATGAATCAAGGATATTTGGAGGTCTCTAAGCGATGGTTATGTCTGATAACTATAAAGTAATCCCGCTCGATGCGGGGTATTATGCTCTTGGTCTTTCATGAATAAGCAAGATGTAAGGCGTCACTCATGATACTGTATCTCTGTATTAGTTTTTCTACGGGTAGCGAATTCCCCTGTTTATAACAAAGCAACATTGCAAACAGATGCTGGATTAAACTGCTAAACACATGAAAACTTGGGTAACACGTGCCTCAGACAATGCAATCTGTAAGGTTGAACGTTTTCTTCAAGGCTAAACATTCATATGATGCACTTGAGGCCTTAAATCAGCATCATTAGGTTCCGACTGCTTGAAAAAAGTTGTACAGTGCCGCAAACCATCGTCACGCGAAGAATAATTATCCGCATATTCATCACCTGTAATGTACTTGTTTTGTATTATTGTGTTGTCTTAACTGATTCATCGTACTGCTTGTGACCACTGGGTATATTATGATCAGTGTTTGACAATGTGGTCCGATTGATTCTGGCTTTATGTTTGCATTATTCGGTCATTTTTCTTTGTTCATCAACAGTTTTATGTGCATTCCTCTTGAACCCACAGATGCCGGTTTGCGTGCGACTCAAGTCACATCGGTCTTGCCATCCGGGGCGGCAGCTCAGGCTGGTCTCGAACCCGGTCAGATTATTGTGTCAATCGGCGATACATCCGTGGACGGTCTGACCGTGCATCAAATTCAATCCCTCATCGACGAGACCACAGCAAGGTGCGTCGGCTGTTGGTATTTATTTATTTCAATAGTGATTAGAGACTGCATGAATGGAAACTAGTCGATTAAGCTTTAGACAGGAATAGTAATCATCTATCTCCTTACCTTGCATGACTTCACGATACGTGAAATTCATTAAGGCCTGTAACCGCTGGTTGCAAAATCGAGATTAGTACGGTCCGGCTTAAAACAACACGAAAAGCCAGAATACATCGTTATTATAAAAACTGTGGTTTTCGGCACACTGAACAAGAACAAACTGTTGAAATATTGAGGAACCTCACTGGGGCTTTATTGGTAACACTTCCTATCATGTTATTTTACGACCAAACATGTTTTTATCACATCATTTCAGTCGAACTGGTTAGCTAGCACTATCCAAATGTGCTTCAGTAAGGGGCTGTCCCACTGTCCACAGCTCCATTTCATGTGATTTAACTTTTCTAGTTGTGTCTGATGAGAGATGCCAAAAATTCAGGTTTACCTAATGCATTCGGGATCATTTGACCGCATCTGTACACGTACATTGCAGTTTAAATGATCATTTTATATGGTCAGAAAATACGAAATAATAGACCGAGAAAAATAATAATCAACATCACTCCCCAAACACATTTGTTGCCACGGTAGTGTCAGAGTAACGGGTTTTACACGGTTGGGAATGGTGATTTTTAATCACCAGTGCCTCCATGTATTTGCGAAACCTCATGTTATATGTGTTTTAATTGATTCTGAATGCTTCTGTCATGACAACGGTGTTTTATTTCGACCAGGTTTTGTATACTGGATGATCTGAGTTCCTTATGTATCACCGGTGACGAGGTATTTCCATTTTTCACTTATTGTTTCCTGAAACTAGACCGAGATGTGTTCGCTCACTGGATAACGCAGTTGTCTCCGCGTCCTATCGATGTAGATTGCGTAGTATCCACATACAATTGGATTTGGCTTAGGGAGATAGAGGTTCTTTCATCGAGGCTGTTGGCAGTCAGATAATTATGAAAACAACGATAGTCTTAGTTGTATAGTGGGTGAGCTTAGTGTTAATGGTCACCTGGACTGCAGTGGGTATACACGAAAATACAGCAACCCTGTTTTCTTGGTTTCCCTCTCCAACTCAGTTGCGTTGATCAAGCCCTTGTTCAGTAGTCTTATTGTCCGAAACAGCTTAGCGGACAGGGCTTTGCATCAGTTCATTGGCGTACTTCACTGCCTGAATCCTTTCCCAAATAAATACCAAGAAGCTGCAGTTAATTGCTCGATAAAAACGTTTTGACCCAACAGTGTACTTCCTTGTACATCGTTGTGACATATCTGTGAGATGTTTGGAATCGGGTTGTATTTAATGTTCAAGTAGCACCATAGTATCGTTTAGCCTGGCTATCGCTTGACTCAATGCCACAGCGAAACCGCAAGGGCCTATCGAGGTTCACCGCTGAAATCTTGAAAGTTGCAGGTTCTTTCTAACCTCATATTTAGAAGGTCTTCAACAGGCAGTTTCCACTAGTTTGTTTCAAGCCACTGTGCTTACCAATCAATCAACTCACGTGTATTTTATGCCCTCCGTTTTCTGAGCCCACGGTGTATTTTCGCAATCTACTTTGTCGTCGTACGACCGTACACTGTTAGGGGTTATATGGGCTGTTTCATACTGACGTTTGGCATGAAGTGTAGGTGTACTTGAGATATTCGTTTGTTTTCATTCATGTGCTACTTGGATTGCACCACAACTCCAATACATATATCTTAACCGCTACAGCTGACCTCTACCTAATGTGCTCGCGGAATACCAAGCTCTAAGCGCTGATCCCTACACTCTTCGCATTTCTAGTTTTGCTTAGGATTCATCCTCTTTCTCCGTTCTGCTGTTTCGTTCAACATTTTCTGTCTTTATGTGCAAGTCTTTTCATTGAGCCTATATTATTGGACTGTGGTGTGCTTGACCTGTTTCTAAAATGATGATATCTGACTTTACCGGTTTGTTTTGTATTGGGTCGCATTGACTTAAGTGACAAATTGGCCTCTTTGCGATACCCAATTGCCAGTTGCATGCATACTGTCATGTGGTGTGGCGATGAATTCATCGTGACTGATCCACCGGTATTAAACATGCGCTTGTGTGGACTACAGCCCTAGACAATCTATCTGTTAATCCCGCTGATCTCTCTATGCGATTCGATGTGCCGGGATTTGCTTGTTTTTTTGCACACAACCACACAGACACATTCATGCACGCGAAAAATCCAGTCTCGGGCAAATAGGTAAGTGAGGGAAAACGAGAACCATAGCAGATTTATTTCATCCTATCCACGAGATGGGGGATGTGATAGGCGAGCGCGGCCAAGTTGCGCCTCTCATGGGATCTCAATGTCTTTTGGACCGATAGGGAACACACGCGTACACAGAATAATTCAACTACCGTGAAACCAATCGAGATGTTCACGTAGCTCATGCGCATGTTGCTTGTGCATATCGCCCGAAACACGACTAAAAACCGAGCAGCGAGCCGTCGTCATACACCCCTCCCCCTTCGGACCCAGGAAAAGGTTTTATTTAGCAATGCATCTGCTGTGTGCTATGCCTACGGCGGGAGAAGAGAATATTTAGCTGACAGGGATGCTGGAGAAGATGAGCGATGCGGTGTCACTGTTCGCGCGTGTGTTTGCGCTTCTCTGTGGAATTGTGTGCTAAGAGAAGGGTAATCTTTCCCACGTCATCACTTTTCTTGCACACAGATTGCTCGATTTTTCCCATTCGAACAACCCATTGCGCCATCTTTCATATTTTGTCTGTATGTTTAAAAGTGATTTGGAGTTTGCCAATCGGTGATTCCATGTTTTTTCTTTATTTTTGATGAGAAAACTACCCTGGATACAAATCAGTTTAGACTGTTAAAATCCATCATGTGAAATGTCCCGTTTGACTCCTAGAACCCCTCGTAACGTGTTTTTTTGCATATCCGTCAGTCAGTCAATCCCATTTATCTACCATTTTTACGTGTTTAACTGTTTCTCCATCTTTCCACTTTGTTCTGTATCCCAATCCCAACGAATACAGGTGATCAATAACCATATTATTTATGAAAACACTGCAACAATGGCTATCCATCGTAATCTTTTCCATTTTCTTTTACTTTGTGGTACAGTGCAGATCACGATTCTTTCTTCGACTTAGTCTCAGTTCTGGCTAATACATGTTAGCTGCTGCAATGCCATACACTCCTGGATGTTGGAAGCGGAGGCATCCCTTGACACATGCTGACACATCACGTACCTTTCAGCGATCCCTCTTCCAAACTTCGGTTCATGACATCAAATAGTTTCCCGTATTGGATGCACGCTATCGTTTCTATAAGGATCAGAGTAGCCGTCGCCGTCAGTACATGAATGAAAAAACCCGTGATAATCCGAAAGCCCTTATCTCCTAGCATCTCCGCGAAAGCATAAAGACTGGCGATCAGCTACAATCAATAGTCGCTTCGTTTTTATTACTATGAT